TTAAGTGGAGAGAAAATGTTTTGAGAATGATGAGGGCAATGAATGTACAAATGCGCTTTACACAATTGATGTGTGCGTGGATTGTGAAAAGGGTTGTATGAGCCCCTACTAAAATGATTTTTTTTAAAAAGAGAGAAACAGCTCAGAGCTTCAGTAATGGCAGGCCTTCGAGATCTGCCAAAACAGCAGAAGCAGAATAGCAGAAGGTGTGTGGTATAGTTTCCCTCTTTCCTTATTTATTCCACTTGATATAAAATGATCAGGGATTGCTTTAAACAGCAGCTCTCCTTCGAGGTTCCTGTCTCAGACATGGAGTGATACAGCGATCTAGACAAGGGCCCTGTGTCCTCCAGAAGCTCACCACCCCGTTACTGCTGAGTCACGGCCACCTCACGATGACCCAGCTGGGTCAGCGCAGAACTGAGTCCACTTTCAAAGTCTAGTAGCTGATATTTTTTTAGAAGTGAATTGTCAGTCCTTTCTTCCTGGGCCCCTTTGGGTGGTCTCTACTCTTCTTTCAGTTATTAGGTGAACACATTATCTGTTTGCACCACCAAGAAACTCCAGAGAAGTTCGAGACACCTGAAAGAGGGTTTTTATTCCGGAAAAGAGTTACCGTCTTAGAAACCCACAGGGGCAGTCTTACCCTGCCTGCCCCATGGGCTCACTATGAGTCTGAATCGGCCTGATGGCAGCGAGTAAGAAAAACACATGGAATATGATTGGCTGAAAGCATTGAACAATGCGTGGTGGTGAAGGCAGAGGAAGCAGAGAAATCAGGATAAACTGGGGAGAATCTTAGTGTTCATTACGCTTCAACTAGTATGCTAAGAACTTAACACTTATTAGCTCATTTATTGCTCACACCCCCGAAAAGGCAGGCTCTGTTATCATGAGTTAGGAAACTGAGACTCAAATTAGGTTTGAATTTTTTCCTGAGTCAAATTGTTGCCAGGAACAAAGGTCCAGGGGCACTGATCACGATTTCAGCCAAACACAGAGACCAGGTTCACTTGAGAAACATTAAGTTTATTCTATGAATGCAAGGCTGAAGGAAACAGTAGGGTTTGCTTCCTCCAAACTGCTCAGTGAAATCTAGCAAGCTGTATATCCCAAACTATGAGATAAGAAGCAGGTTTTGCAAATGATCACACAAAAGTTTTTCTCTACATATATTTTTTCTAGGCCAGACTACCATTCCCTGAATCACCATGCCCCACTGCTTATCTAAATGGGGGTTGTTCATACTTAATATGTGCATGTTAATGGCCTTGCTCACTGCCTACTTTTATAAGAAGATCATCCTTACTGATTACATTTAAAAGGAATTTTTTTCCTTTAAAGGAGAAGGCTGTCACATTTTGCATGTCTAGCAGATTAAATCTTAAATTATGGCATAGTCCTAATATTTTGATTAACAGCAAGCTAATGCCTTCACTGCCCTCTATCAAAACAATTAGTAATTTATAGAACCAGGATTTGAATCCACGTCCGTTTTCCTTTGTACAGTGCTGTGTTATCTCTATCTTTCTACAGAGATTGCATTGATCAATTTAACCACAGACGAATAAAGAAGTATTAGAGACAGGCAGCATTCAAAGTAGGCTGCCAAAGTAATCTCCATCCTGAAAAGTGAGATGGGTGACTGGACAGAGAAGCTAAACAAAGAAAACAAAACAAGGAGCGGGGGGGAGGGCTGGATGTCACTGAATGCTATTCATATAGCCGTTGGATGCCAATTCCTTAACTTTCCCAAAGCCAAATAGCAAATGCTTAGTGATTCTAATGCACCGGCCACGCTTAGCTGTGCAGAGGACACAAAGGCATTCAGGGGCATTCCTGTCCCTTGTGAATTTATGGTCAAATGCAGGCAGAAGGAAAGTGGGGAGGAACAAGAGTATATTATTGTAGTCAATGAATTGGAATAACACCGCCCGCCCCCCACACCCTGAGGGGTCCATCTCATGCAGAACCGTGTTTCCTATTTGCTTCTGGAAATTGTCCAGATGCACGAGGGAGAACTTCTTTTGTCTTTTCTGCAGATAATGCCTTTCAAGGTCCTTGCCTTGAAATCTTATCTGTCTGAAAAAGGTATACTCACCGTTAATGATTATAAGACTAATTATTGGCTCATTGCCCAAAAAAGAATCTAGAAATTCAACAAATGAAGACAAAAAACTTTTTTCTACTCCTCTATGGCATATATCCACCATATGAATATACAGTGATAATTTTATGTGCCTACCCCATCATGCTATATCTATTGCCCCCAAATCAGTTATTCTTTTTACGGTAACAGCATACTTAACTCGCAGGGGCAGGTTCTGCGACAACATGTTTCTCTTTCCTCCTACAAATTAAAACAAAAGCAATGTTGTACATAAAGTTGGTTATCTTGATTGTTATTTCAGTAGATGTTGACCTCAGTTTTGGACAGCTTGTAAGTGTTGTATTTTCAGCAATGTTGATTGAAATGGTGAAAGTAGAAGATGAAATGCCAATCCATTACAGTGATTATTTGCTTATCTGATTGGTGTGAGCATGAAAGGACAGGGTGTAAAAGAAACAGGTCCTGTTGGAAAATTGTTCTCAAGGGGCTGTAGCTTTTCTGGATAAGGTATAAATGTTATTATTCTTCAAATATCTTTATTAAAATATTTTGCTTACACTTAATAGTGTTTTATAATGCTGAACTTTGAGAACAGTTTATTCTGGAAAATAGGAAGATCAAATGAAAATAGCAAAGCTCCACAGAATTTGATAAGATTTTTAAATGTAAATGCTTTTGAAAGCATAGAGTAATTTTATCGATATATAACTGTCAGTGTATTTTATACTACATCTAAAAGATCTTGTTTAGATTTTTTAATTGGGCATAATTATACGCAGTAAAATACACAGCTGTGAAATGTCAAGTCCAAAGTGCTGTATACTCATCTCACCAACATCCCAGATATCACAAGGTATTTGTTTATCAGGCAGACATCATCGTGGCTGACTCCTATATGCATAGTGATGATCCATACACCCTACAGTACAGAGGATGTGGAAAAGAAGGGAAATATATCCATTTCACTCCTAGTTTCCTACTGAATGATAATTTAACTGCTGGCTATGGACCACGAGGTAAGTTAAACCATCAAGAAACAGCGACTGGGCAGTACTATTTACAATATCTTGTGGTAAAGCTTGGCAGTTTGGCCTTACCCGGCAGTGCGGTGTAAGAAAGGCCTGGCAATCAGGTTCCATAAAGATTACAGACCAAAAAATCACTACGGAGCAGTTCTGCCTGTAACACATGAGTCAAAATCAACTCGATGGCCACAGGCTTGAGGTATGTGCCGGTTGTGTTTCGTTTTTGTCCTGGTGCTTGATGCTAAAGGGGACTCAGAGAATCTGAAAGCTGCAGGGATGTTCCGTGTAGATGGAGAGCGAATCCACATGTGTATGCAAAGATGGTGAGCAAATGACGTAGAGAGAGGTTCACTCCAAGTTAGGGCGCACTCCAAGAAGTCACGGAAAGGAGAGACCTTGCTGAGCCAAGGGCGGCCAGAAAGGGTCTCACAGAGGAAGGGTCTCAAGGGTAGCTATCACTTTGACACATAGCGGAAAGACGGAAACCAAACCCACTGCTATAGAGCCGATGGCGACGCGTAGCAACCCTACAGGACAGGGTAGACCTGCGTCCAAATTTCTGAGACTAACTATTTACAGAGAGAGGAAGGCCCACCTTTCTCCTGCATAGGAGGAAAGGAGACAGCAAACACTGGGAAGAGTATGAACAATATTCCAGGCACATGTCAGCTATGAGGAGCAGTTGACTGGTGCAGAAAGACTGTGTACTAAGTAATGGGAGAAAATGCTGAAATGCCGATAGAGGTTGAGACATGGAGAACCTCAGATGCCCATATGAGCTTGTCACCTCACGGCGTGGCACCGCCAAAGCAGTGCTTAAGCAGATGAATCTGCCTGTGTGGATCAGACGGAGGAGTGAGGTAGAAACTAACGACCACGTGAAGCATTAGAATCCAGGGAGGCGGCCATTAGCACTTGAACCAGGAGTGGAGGCAGTGAGAATGTGAGCAGAGGTACTACTAGTAAGACTAAGGAGCATTTCCTGCTCTGTTGCTTTTCAAGTGTGTGTTTTTTTTAATCATTTTATTAGGGGCCCATACACTCTTATCACAATCCATACACACATCAATTGTGTAAAGTGCATTTGTACATTCATTGTCCTCATCATTCTCAAAACATTTCCTCTCCACTTAAACCCCCGGCATTAGGACCTCATTTTTCCCCTCCCTCCCCGCTTCCCCCTCCCTCATGAGCCCTTGATAGTTTATAAATTGTCATTTTGTCATATCTTGCCCTGTCTGACGTCTCCCTTCACCCACTTTTCTGTTGTCCATCCCCCAGGGAGGAGGTCACGTATAGTTCCTTGTAAACGGTTCCCTCTTTCCTACCCACTCTCCCTCTACCCTCCCTGTTTCTCCACTCACACCACTGGTCCTGTAGGGCTCATCCACCCTGGATTCCCTGTATTTCCAGTTCCTATCTGTACCAGTGTACATCCTCTGGTCTAGCCAGACTTGCAAGGTAGAATTTGTATCATGATAGTGGAGGCGGGGAGGAAGCATTTAGGAACTAGAGGAAAGTTGTATTTTTCATTGTTGTTACATCGCACCCTGACTGGCTCATCTCCTCCCCGAGACCCCTCTGCAAGGGGATCCCCAGTGGCTAAGAACGCTAGTGATGAAAGACATTGGAACAGGAAAAGAGGACGAAGGAAGAAGAGGTCTGAGCCGCTAGACAGTGACAAGCAAGGGTGGGGGCGGCCATGAGGATTGCCCCGCGTGTTGGTCTGACGTCCCTCACTCACTCACCGCCATCAATTCACAGCGACCCTATAGGACATCCTTGTACCCTGGGTTTCTGAGATTGTAACTGTTTACAGGAATAGAAAGTCCAATCTTTCTCCCAGGAAGTGGCTAGTGGTTTTGAACTGCAGATCTTGCAGATTCCAGCCCCATTTGTGACCACTAGGCAACCAGGGTTTGTCTGAACCAGAAGGAACCAATATAAAGGGGAAACACACAGTGTGGTTTTAGACAAGTTGATGGAAGAGTAGTGGCCTATGCAGGGAGAAAGGTTCAGCCTACCATTGGGGACAGAGGGCTGGATTGGGGGAGAGAAATCAGGGCCAGAGGCACGGTCTTTCCTAGAAGAGATTAGTATTTAGTGAGTGGGATCTGAGGGAGAAATTGTAGCCAGGAAAGATCAGCAGGTCAAGGGCTATTACATTCTTAATTTTTGTGTGTGTTTATTTTTAACATACACTAGCACCTTTAAAAAAAATCATTTTATTAGGGGCTCATACAACTCTTATCACAATCCATACATACATCAGTTGTGCAAAGCACATCTGTACATTCATTTCCCTCATCATTAGAGCCTTTTAAATGATACTTTCATTTCCACCCCAACTAGAATCCATGGAGGTTTTGTTATGTAATGTATGGCGCAACATACCCTATAAGCACACTTCATCAAACACTTCACAAAATTCTATATAAACATTGACACCCACACCCACACCCACACCCGGGTAACCAGTAGGGTCTTGATAACCTCCGCATCAGCACGTCTGAACTCCGTGAGTCAGCACAAACTCTCCTTCAACACCTTCACCTCGGACGAACTGTTCTCCCTTTCTTTGTTCTAATGACTAAGCATTGCTGAACACACCCCAGCCTGAGTCAACTCGGAAACTTCCTGGGTTCCCAGAACGTAAAAAATTGCATAGGGAGAGAACAGAGAGATAACTTTCAGGAGGGAAATTTGGAACATTTTTAAGGAAGAGAAGCGAATTGTAGCTTGGACTTTGAGGAAAGTGTAAGATTTAAAGAGAGAAAGTCACAGAGTAGCGGAAGATGAAGGTGGGGGGTTCTCAGAGCTGGGCTGAAGATGAGCACATCAGGGAGTAAATCCCGAGACAGGACCGTCCCAGCAGGAGATGGTCTGCTGGGAGTCTCATTAAGCACAGTGTGTGAATCCCTGCTCTGCATAAGAGACTCTCATCACACAGACTGAAGAAGAGGGAAGCTGTGTTAGCTTGCTTGGTTGTCTCTGGCCCTCTTTGCCCAAACCCTAAATGTAGAAACCTCTCTGAAGCGCAGTAGGAAACTGTTGAACAGCCTCTTCAGGGAAAGGCGAGGATGTGGCACTCCTCATTAACTTCAAAGACACGCAATAAGTAAGCCCCAGACGGCATTTACAGGACTAACCGTGCTTTCCCACCCTCTCTCCCATTACGGTAGAGGGTAGGGTAGGAAGAGATGGAAGTGGGTGGACGAAAGACAAGTGGGAGCGAGCATTGCACCTCAGCTCTCCGAAATGAGTCCAGACGTGAGGGGCTGCAAAAAGTTCATGGGCCAATTCCTTTATCTTCGAATTTGTTTTTCCAAAGATCTTACATCTTGACGCATCAGCCAGACCCGCTATTGAGGTGCAGAACTCAAAAGCAAAAGCCCTTTCTTTCCCAGGCAGAGTCTTCGTCCACGAATGGGCCCATCTCCGTTGGGGTGTGTTTGATGAATACAACAATGAGAAACCTCTCTACATAAATGGGCGACATCAGATTAAAGTAACAAGGTTAGTGCTTTTTCTCGTGCTTATAAGTCATTGTTTATTCATTTAACTTGGGAGTTAAGTTTATAACAGCAGCTAAAACATAGCTGATATCATTTGTCCATTTAAAATTTTTATTATAATTTTTAATAATTGATAAACCTTCATGGGGTTCAGATATCAAAAGCGATATCCTTAGATGTCTCCTTCGCACTGTTTCCATCTTTGCATCCCCTCTAGGGGACTACTTTTATTGTCTTTGCAGTATTTCTTCAGGAAAATTCATATAAATATGAATATATATTCTTCCCCATTCTCTTTTTAAAATAATTGCATAGTATCCTATTGTGTGGCTATATCGTAATTTACTTACAGAACTAGCCCTATTTTTTGGCCACATTGTTTCCCATCTTTTAGTACCAATAATACTGCAGATATTACCTTTATACGTGTCATTTCTCATGTATGCAGGCAGATCCATAAACCTACTGAATATCTCTCAAGAATCACTGTATCAAATGCCGCCCTTCATCTGTAATTTTGCTTGACATGCAGATTCCCCTCCACCGAGGTGCTGCCTTTCACATCTACCAACAGTGTCGGAGATTGCTTGCTTAGGAAAGAATCCTTTTCACTGTCACATTACATGTTCACACGCCTCTTCTGCTGCTGTCCAATGAGGGGCAAGTCCAGTGGAGCACTGAATCAGCATATGCCGCTGATACCTCTAACAGCTCTTCATTTCCTGACATCTTTTGCTTTGCCCCTAACTAAATATTGTAACTCCTGGCAATGCAGAACCCCTTCATCAAGATCAAATACTTCAGAATACATCAGAGGCTGTGTAAAATAGCTCTATAGCAGACAAATATATAAAGATCAAAGCTTATTAGTGGTTACCAAGTAGTCACTGGAGGGAGGAGGGAAGAAGATACATGCTTAAGGGTCACTAAGCCTCTCTAAAGAGTGATGGGAAAATACAGGAATGGTTGTGTCACGGAACTGCACCTGTGAAGATTGTAGACATGGTACTGTTTTCTTGTTTCCTATTTATTTACCACCGTCACAACAAAACTACAGTGAAGAGCATTTCTAAATGACTGCGATTTCTTAATATAGCAGTATCAAAATTGTATTATGTGTCTTTACCATCCTTAAATTCTTACATAATCTAATAAGGACAAAGCCTCAATTGTTTCTAAAATAGACCCTTTTTCACCTTTCCGATTTTAGGTGTTCATCTGACATCACAGGCACCTTTGTGTGTGAAAAAGGCCCTTGTCCCCAAGAAAACTGTATTATTAGTAAGCTTTTCAAAGAAGGTTGCATGTTTATATACAATCGAACCCAAAATGCAACTGCATCGATAATGTTCATGCAAAGCTTCTCTTCTGTAAGTATGGCCTTGGGGGACAAACTCCTGCAAGAGTTTTAAAATAAGACGGTAGTCACTGTATGATAGAGCTTGGGGCTTTATAGTTCATCTAGTTCTTATGATGATCTAGCTTCCCCAAATGTGGGTCATTAGAAAAGTTATTACTGGCTTTCTAGGGAAGGTGATTTCATAAGGGAATCCCTGAAGACCACAAAATAAATTGCTCAGAAAGCAGTTGCTTGACTCTTCCATAGGAAAGTCTATTGGATTCATGAGAGGAATATCGCACATGATCTGATTTCCTCTCATTTGAGATCATGGACCACATCACATTTCAATTTCATTCCTTATTTCCTTTCCTTGTTTTGCACCATCTGGAAGGTCACGTGAAAGATTGGGTATTCCCAGAGAGACGTTAGCTAACACCACTCTAACTTTCATGGGAATGCAATACTTGCATCCTCTGTGCAGTTTATTTTCTCTCTGAGGTAAGCAGCATGGGAAAGCCAACTTCTCAGCAGGAGCCTACTTAGGGAGCATTGCACCAGAAAGGAGGGGGTTGGGTGATTCAAAAGTTTAATGGCACCAGCCTCCCTGACCTGGCTCATCGATCCATCTTCACAAAAACCTAACAAGTCTCACTCCTTGTTCACGCCGCTCCAGGCCTCTCATGGAGTTTTCTTTTTGTTCCCAAGGCTGACCAATGCTTGTTGGAGTAACACATTCTATTTTAGATAAGTTTTTATCTTCTACCTTTTTTGTTGTTACGTTGGCAATCATTCTGCATCATGAAGGTGACTTCCTGCATTTCTGTTAGACCCACAGTGGTTTTAATTTATAGCATGTTTATTCTACGTCAACCTCATCTTTCGTGTTTGATCCATATTGTTTGTACCCTAGACTAGGTACTATCTTTGTGATTCTTTGAAAGATCTACTGGTTAGAAGCTAGTCAGGAAGGCTTCTCAACCTTCTAAGTCAGGAAGTGGAGGGAAAGAGCAAAGGTAAACAAATGAGCAACGCCGTTCTGTTCCTGTGTGCTCAGCCAATGGAGAAATGCATGTGCTAAAGCAGTTATGAGCCTTTACAAGTGTCGCTTCCTCTTTTATGAAGTTAGAGGTGGGACGAGGGGGTCTCCCAGTTCTAAACCCTCATGGTTCTGTTAGCAGGAAATATTTACTCTTTGTAGGACTGTAGCCACTGGCAATATATGGTGCCACCTCCCTTCCCGATGCAAACTACACTTTTCAGAGGAGAGCCCAAGCTGCCCCTACACAGCAAATGAACAGCAACCACATGAACAGAAAAAGGCCACAACACTGATTCTGATAGACAGCAGCCCAGTAAAACAGAGCAGAACTGCCCCCTAGGGTTTCTGAGACTGTGCATCTTTAGGGAGGGACTGCTTCATCTTTCTCCGGTGAAGTGGTTGGTGGATTTGAAAGGATGCTCAGTTAGTTGTACAAAACTTAACCCACTCTGCCACCAGGGGAGATGGTAGAGATTTAGGAACAATATATGAATCATAGCTATATTCTCCTAGAGAGTAAAATCAGGAAGTAGAGTTAAGTGGTATTTCCTTATTCTGTTCTTACAGAGATCAATATTTGTTTATAAATCAATATATATTGACTAGTCAATAAAGGTGCAGTTGACATAAATTCTAGGGAATAGGATGACCAAGATAACATCTCCTGTGAAAAGGTTTGGGGTGTTTTCTTTATATTCTTCTGAGGAAACTGGTAGGTTATTTTGTTTGTCTTACATTAAGGTAAATGGTCTACTCTCTAATTGCAAGTCACTCTACTGATCTCAGTACCAAAAATGGTGCTAAGATTTCATGCAAAGGGTGCCAAGGTTTACTTATAAACTTGGTTTCATTCTTGAAGTAAAGAAAATTACTGTAAATTTTATTTCCTATCAACTTACCCTTTCTTTTACCTGCTATCTTCTTAAGAATAGAAAATACATTTTAGTATGGGAGGGGATCTTTAAGTACTTTAGTACTCCACTAGGCTTTGTGCTTTTTCCAGGTGGTTGAATTCTGCAATGCAAGCACTCACAACGCAGAAGCTCCAAACCTACAGAATCAAATGTGCAGCCTCAGGAGCACGTGGGATGTCATCACAGCCTCCGCGGACTTCAACAGCAGCGCTCCCAGGAACGGGACGGAGCCTCCACCGACTCCCACATTCTCTCTTGTACAGGCTGGCGAGAAAGTGGTCTGCTTAGTGCTGGATGTGTCAAGCAAGATGGCCGAGGTAACATTTTGAACTGAAATAATTGTAAATCATTATTTTTCTGCCAGGTTTTTACATTGTATGATTTGGAGGTGGGGGTAGCAATAAACGTGTTGGAATCATCATGCACCTTATTCTCTTGAGCACAGGGAAAATGAATTCAGTACGTGGCGCAGCAGTGAGGTAACGCGTGTACGTGAAGAGAATGCAGTAGCTCCTACTCATCACTTTTGCTACTGAAGGCAGCCTTTCCCAATCCAGCCACTGCTCCAAACTCTGCCACGTGACAGAAGGCTCCTGTCTGGCCACATTTCACTCCTAGTAAACATTCGTGGCCGACGAAATAGACAGTGACTTTGTACAGAGTAGGCATATCCAATGTGTATACATTTTCCAGATGCCATTGTGCACAGGAAATTATATCTCAGTCATCTGACAATCTAGTTCTGGAACTGTCAGATAAAGGTTACAGACATACTAGTCTCTGCAATCAGTTGCATATTCTTTGAATCCTGACTCCTTTGCTTAGTGCCTATATCTGATCAACATACCTAATCTCTCTGAAGCTCGGTTTTCTTATCTGTAAAGAAGGGATAATAATTCCTACTTGCAATTATGAGATTAAAAAAAAGCTGTCATTAACCCAGTTATGACTCACGGTCACCCTATCGAGGGTTTCCCAGGCTGTGAATTTTCACAGAAATATATAGCTTCATCTTTCTCCCTCACAGTGGCTGGTGGGTTTGAACCACCAACCCTTTAGTTAATAAATCAGTGCTTGACCCCAGCACATCATGGCTTCTGTAGATTTTCTGAGGGCAATCCCTTCTACCATATGTCTCTTTGGAGTATGTCTTATTATCTAGATTGAATTGTAGAGAACCAGTGACAAACCCAGTCTCAATGTGACAAACCCAGTCTCAATGAATTCCATGGATCTTTGAATTCTAGGTCGGAGAGAAATGGAGGAGGTAGTCACATATGTTCTTCCCCCTGTCGCTGGCCTTGATGCCCCCACCCCCAAAGAAAGAGACAAAATTCACTTCCAGCAACGCAATTCTTACTCAAAGCAACCCTACAGGACAGAGTAGAGCTGTCTCTGGGTTTCTGAGGTTATAAAACTGTAATTTTTTCATTTTTATTTTATTTTTATGTCAACAAATCATTTTATTGGGGGCTCTTACAGCTCTTATAACAATCCATACATCTATTGTATCAAGCACATTTGTTCATATGTTGACATCATCCTTTTCAAAACAATTTCTTTCCACTTGAGCCCTTAGTATCAGTTCCTCTTTTTTTTCCTCCCTCCCCCACCCTCCCACCTCATGAACCCTTGATAAATTTCAAATTATTATTTTCCTGTCTTAAACCATCTGCTGTCTCCCTTCACCCATATTTCTGTTGTTGGTCACCCTGGGATTGGTGGGTGGGTTATACATCGGTCATTGTGATCAGTTCCCCCTTTCTCCTCCCCAACTTCCTCCTACCCTCACAATATCGCTAGTCCCATTACTGTTACTGAGGGGTTTATCTGCCCTGGATTCCGTGTGTCAAGAGCTCTTATCTGTACCCGTGTAGATGTTCCAGTCTAGTTGGATTTGTAACATAGAACTGGGGTTATGATACTGGGGGATGGGAGGTGGAGTGGAGAAAGCAATAAAGAAATAGAGGAATATTGTATGTTTCATCAGTGCTAGACTGCACCCTGCCTGACTCATCCCTTCCTTGTGAACCTTCTGTTAGGGATGACCAATGGTCTACAGATCAGCTTTGGGTCTCCACTCCGGCCCCCTCATTCATATCAATATGATTGTGCTAGGTCTTCTGATTCCTGATACCTGATCCTGTTGACACCCTCGTGATCACACAGGCTGGTGTGCTTCTTCCATGTGGACTTTGTTGCTTCCCAGCTAGATGCACTTGTTCATCTTCAAATCTTTAAGACCCCAGACGTTATATCTTTTAATAACTGGGCACCATCATCTTTCTTTGCCACATTTGCTTATGTACCCATTTTGTCTTCAGAGATCATGTCAGGAAGGTGAGCATCACAGAATGCCAGGTTATTAGAACAGTGTTCTTGCATCGAGGGAGTACTTCAGTAGAGGCCTAATGTCTGTCTACTATCTTAATACTTAACATATAAATATATGTACATCCCTATTATTATATATAAATATATTTACATATGTATGTTCCTGTATTTATACCTCTATAAATGTCTTTTGCCTCCTAGTTCTTTCCTGTATTTCCTTTTCCTCCTGTCCCACTATCGTGTTTGACCTTCATTAGGCTCTCAGTAATGCTTCTCAGCTACACTGCACCTGATCAAACCCCACCAGGCATTCTATGCTCTCCTCACCATCAAATTTAGATCACTCTTTGCTCCCTTGTCCCTGGGTTTGTTTTCTCTCCCCTGCCTTTCCCTCACCTCCCCCTCTCCCTTGTCTCCCCTAAACTATTGGCTAACCCCCATTATTTTCTCCTCGGGATTGTTTGTCCTGCCTATCTTATACAGATAGACATAAAAAAAAGAAGCCTATGAATAGTTCTAGATCTGTCTGTGGCCCTTATGACTGTTTCTGATCAAGTCTGAAGAGGTGATGAAAGTTTATGGAGCAAAAGTCTCTTCTTTCTCCCTTGGAGTGGCTGGTGGATTTGAACTGCTGACGTTGTGGTTAGCAGCCCAACATGTAATCCACTCCACCATTAGGGCTCCTTCATTAGGATTCTTAGATAGTGCCAAATCATTAACAGTTTGTTAGAGGCAAAGTTCCAAATCCACAACTCCAGCCTCTAAAGAAGGAATCATTATTGAGTTTGCAATAAATTGAATATTTTAGTGTTATGGCACTGTTTTCCAACTCGTAAGAAATTGTAATGACTCTACAGAATTAGCAGAGATATTTGCTAATTGGGTCAATGAGTAATACTTTAGATAACCAACCAAATGTTGTTACCTGTCTTTTTTTTTTTTTTTCTTTTTTGACATAGGGTGAGAGACTCCTTCGATTGCAACAAGCAGCAGAATTTTATTTGATGCAGATTGTGGAAATTCGTACCTTTGTGGGCATCGTCAGTTTTGATAGTAAAGGAGAAATCAAAGTCCAGTTACATCAAATTAACAGCAATGATGACCGCAAGCTACTGGTTTCATTCCTGCCTACCACCGTGTCACACAAAGCAGAAACTAGTGTCTGCTCAGGGCTTAAGAAGGGCTTCGAGGTACAGTAGAGCATCCAAGCCTTGGCTCACCTTTGCTTTCCTTTCCCTTGCTCTCTATCAGAGGCAGTTTCTGAACATGGAATCTGTCGACTGGAGTCATCACGGCCTCAACCAAAGGAGGGGAAATGTCCTTAAAGGCAGGCACGAGGTCTTGCTCACTCCTGTACTGCCCAAGACTAGCAGAGCACTCGGCATGTAATAAATGCTTACTGAAGGAATGAGTAAATAGGTGAACCCAATGACCCTAACTGGAAGAGTTCAACACCCTCTGCACACTTCTTGACTCCATTTTTTATCCATTCTGGAACTGTCTAAGCTATGTCCATTGCTACTCTTGGGCTTTCCATTCAAAATCAGCATTGCTGGCGCCTGTTCATAGTCATACCGGCAGGGTAGGTTGCAGGTAAATTTGAGTCATTTAAGGCCCATGGAATTATAGCATTCATCTAAATCAGCACAACTTTGGATTTGACACCTGGAATACAGCCATGCATCAAGTACTTGGGACAAGCAAGATGTATCGGCTGTAGCTATTGCGACCTATAGGCAAGTGCTTCTCAATGTACACTGTTGAAATAACCTGAGGAGGAAAACATACTGATTCCTGCCTGTGTCTTATACTCAGACATCTAATTTAATTGATCTGGGATATGACCTGGTCATTAGAAAAATGGAAAGCTCCTACTCTGGTTCCAGTGTTGAGAAATTGCTCTAGAAAGTACAAAGTAACTCAAAGTCCTCAGCCACTATATTAGATCTGACTGGTCCTCAGAGGCAAGGATCTCACACAATAATAAATGGGGTATCCACTAGGATGAACACTATTCTAACCTATGAACATATCACAATGATTATCTTGCGATGTGGGACTGCCCATAAACATGCCCATCAGTGGCATGTCGGGTGACAGCATCATACAGGGGTGAGATAAGGACTGAGTGGAGATGGGCTTGGCTGGAGTCCAGGGGGCTACAGGGAACTTGGAAGAGCCATATGTTCTATAGATGGGGAATTTGAAAGGAATTATCCTACTCCATTACACTTACCTCCACACGACTGATGCTCTATGTTCAGGTGGTTGAAAAGCTCAATGGAAAAGCATATGGCTCTGTGATGATATTAGTGACCAGCGGTGACGATGAACATATCGACAACTGCTTACTCACGGTGCTCAGCAGCGGCTCAACTGTCCATTCCATCGCCCTCGGTCCGTCTGTGGCTGAAAACCTGGAGGAGTTATCACATCTCACAGGTAAATGAATCCCTAGGAAGTCTTATTTTGCAGATCACTTCCTTTTAACTTCATAGGTAACATGTAAATATGAGGATGTAACTGAAAACAGAAACCATTTTCTAAAAATTAAAAAAAAAATCATTGCCAAAATGGTCAAAGTTGCTAGAGTCCTTGTATTGTTCTCCGAGAGCAGTGGTTCTCAGCCTCCCTCAGGCTGTGACCCTTTCATGCAGTTCCTCATGTGGTGGGACCCCAACCATACAGTTATTTGGTTGCTATTTTATAACTGTAATTTGCTACTGTTATGAGTCTTAATGTAAAAATGCAGGATGTATTTTCATTGTTACAAATTGAACATAATTAGACATAAGTAAAACATAGTGATTAATCAGAAAACAATATGTAATTATATATTGTGAAATATTTATGTGTTTTCCGATGGTCTTAGGCGACCCCTGTGAAAGGGTCATTGGACTTCCAAAGGGGTCTCAACCCACAGGTTGAGACCCACAGGTTGCTGCCCTAGAAGGTGCCAGTTATATACAAAGAGTGAAAACACCATTTTTCATAAGTTCTTGAGCTGAAAGATACATTCGAGATGAAGTAAACTAGTACTGGATTGTAAAATACATGTCTGTTTTGCTCAAGTGAGGCAGATTGTTTAATTTTCTTATATCCAATAAAAATGAGTATGCTAATGTGTAAATTGAGTTCATTTTGACCAAATTATTCTGAAACTAATAGACAGCCTTTGGCCTAGCTAGCTGGTCTAGGGATGTTAATGAGTTCTTTCCAGGTACCAGGCAGCATTCGGGCCCTGATACTGTCGGCACGCACAGACAGACAAAGCCTCCCCCTCGGCAGGGCAGCCAATGCCCTGAACTACCTCCTCGTCAGTCACCAACTGTGCTCTCCCGAAACTAGCACCCTGACAACACTTTGTTTTCAGCTTCTTCTATGCTTTCGTTTGAGCACTTAACACCCTAATCATGTACTTCAGGAGGCTTAAAGTTCTTCGTGCCGGACAAATCAAACTCCAACAGCATGATTGATGCTTTCAGTAGCATTTCCTCGGGAACCGGCGACATCTTTCAGCAAAGTTTTCAGGTCAGAGTCCTCGGTGTTATCCTTGCAGGTGGGCGGGTGGGGGGGCGGGGGTCTAAAAGGGGGAAGCAAAGGAAATAAGTGAATTGTTGTAACTGCTTCATTAGCGTTATTTGAATATGTAACAGTTAAGAGTGAAGAATGCTTTTAATGAGCTCCTTCTTACCAGAACCGGGCTTCCTTTTTAACGTAAGGTCTGAACTTCTCAGGAGGCCCTGGCCCGCGATTAACACACTCAGCAGAGAACCCAAAAGTGGGAGGTCTGAGGCCGCCCAGGGGGCCGCAGGAGGAAGGCTCAGGGATCCACTTCTGAAAAACCCGCCGCTGACGGCCCTGTGAGCACTGTCCATCCGACTGTGATGCACGTGGGGGCCACAACAGGAGGGTCGGCTCTCCAACCCCAAAGCCACTCTCTGTAACTGTTCCCTCTGCTGTTCAGGGTCTGTGAGAAGAACGTGCTTTTATTCTGCACACACATTGGGAATGGGAGCGGAGACGAACGCCCAAAAGAAAAAATAAGAAGCCAAGGATTTGTTTTAGTTCCATAATAATGTTTTATCAATCAGAATTTGATTTTGGTTTTGTATCAGAGCTCCTCTTTTGTGTATGAAGTCCTATTATATTAAATTCTGAAAGTTTCTAATTATCTCTTCAACTCCCACTGGTTTTTGCTCACAGAAGTTTCTTCCACTCAAGCTGTTCAAAAAGGGAGCTTTTTCGGTTTGTCTATCAATGCTTTAAAGATCATGACCGAATAGAGTTTTGAGCAAAAATCCATCTGTGGCTTCCTCACAGATGGTCAACGAACGTGGCAAGTTAATGGCTTGAGGTGAACAATGAAGTCAGGAGATTATTATCAGAAAATATTTGATGTAAAGATCATATTTATACAGCAAAGGCAATAACTGCAATTCCATCATCAGAAGTAAGAAACTGTGAAATAGTACACACAGATGCAGTGGGTAGTAAAGATTAGATTGCAACAGAGTATGTGGCTGATAATTCTCAGTAATCTTTCTATCCTATGATTTTCTCTTAAAAAATAACAAATATAAAAAAGTAAAAATTTTAAATATAAAATATCTTTCAAAAAAAATTAAAAAAAAAATCTTTCACATGGTTTCAAAAGGGCCGATTGAATGTTCGCAAACACCATGACCTCTCCTTGGACCCTACACCCCACCCAGCCCCAAGTTGTTAGACTAAGAGAGGAGACCACAGGGACCACCTGTCGATAGACAGGCATGACAAGTCATATAGCAGCCATCAATCCATGAACACTTGTTAAATTAACTTAAACAAGTAATTCATCATGTCTTTGCTACCATCCACTAGTACAATTTCATATGCTTTCCAGTTCTGAGCAAACTTAAAATTGTTACTAGTGTGTTTATTTAATAAATCATACTTATAGACATGTGTGCATTGTGAAGGGTCAGCAACCACAAGTAGGGGTTCTATTGTTGCTTTATCTGGGTTTTCTTCCATCTCCTCCTCTCCCATTGGACAGATTACTTCTCTAAGCCTCAGTCATTTCATCTGTGAAATGTGTATAACAAACAATAGTATGTATCTCAAAAGTTTTTATCAGGTTAAATAACATATGCTTATATTCCATATGCATTATACACTGTGTTTATTTTGAATGACTAAATGCATTTTAGTCTACTAATTCATTTTTGTCATAAAACTAAGGAAGACAAAGATGGATGGTGGTGCATGAACTAGAAACATTGACATGCATATTTGCTTTAACAGCTTGAAAGTACTGGCAAAATGGTTAAACCTCACCATCAACTGGGAAACACTGTGACTGTGGATCAAAGTGTGGGCAATGACACAATCTTTCTGGTCACATGGCAGAGCAGTGGTCCCCCTGAGATTGCATTATTTGATCCTAATGGAAGAAAATATGACACAAATGATTTTACCAGCAATCTAGCTCTGCATTCTGCTCGCCTTCATATCCCAGGAACTGCCAAGGTAGGTGTTGTGACCTTGCTCATAATGACATTTGAAATGCAAATGACTTTTGATTGAATTATGTGTAATTCAATACATTGTGAAAGGAAATCGGGTTCTGGTATATCAAAATTTAATGTTGAACTTATGAGAATGTATTTGTGAATGCTAAAAATTCTAAAGGGAATGCCAAAATATGTTTAAAACTTTAAACACTGAATACCCAGGTCCTCATGTCAACGGGTAAAATTAGTATTCATGTCGTGCAAATAAATTTTTCTAGCCCTTGACATCATTCTTTATAAGTTCTATATTGACATATTTGCTAATATGCTTAGGGAAAAATCTATCTAGAACTTACAATATGAATACATACAGCACATGTTTTTGAACATCTATTATGCATTGAGCTGCTAATGGCAAGATCAGCAGTTCAAATCCAGCAGCCACTCCATGGGGGAAAAGACGGGTGTCTGCTCCTATAAGGAGTTGCTGTCTCAGAACCCACAGGAGCAGTTCCCCTGCTCCACAGAGCTGTGAGTGAGACTCTGCTCTATGGCAGCGAGTTTGTGTTTTTGGTTATTATGTGCTACAGTGTTTTCCAAGAGCTTTACATAACAAATGTCACAATAGGTACATGATACTATTAGAGCATACAAGAGGGACACACAGGTGCAGTGAGGCATGGGGGAGAGGGTGGAGAACACTTCATGTAAATGAAAACATCCAAATTGGTATGTGGAAGACACAGGAGCTGGACAGTATGTATGGCATTTTGGGAAGAGGAACTAGCACATGGAAAAATCTCAGAGAAAAAACTGATCCAAGACTGTTCATAGAACGGTGAGGAGTCAAGCAGTACAGTTTTGAACAAACCACAGAGTAGCATGGAACATGGAAAACATGAGAAAGAGTCCGTCGTGATGAGGCGAGGAAAATTAACAGGAGCTGTGTCAAAAGGGCGGTGTATGGCAGGAAACAAAGCAGGGGCTTGGATCTGACAGGTAAAGGAGAATAACTAATTCTTCAGAAAAGATCCATTCCCGCACTAGACCCCTGGTGGTGCAGTGGTGACATGTTGGGCTGATAACTGCTGGGTCAGTGGTTCAAAACCATCAGCTGCTCCTGGGGAAAGGTGAGGCTCTCTACTCCCATAAAGAGTCACAGTCTAGGAAACGCAGAGGTACTGTTCTAATCTGTCCTGTTGACTCACTATGAGGTGATGGCAGTGAGTTTGGCTTGAGTTTATTCTTGCACTGCATCAATTTACCCTCTCAGTGTTCCCTGCCCTACCCCCCGTCCCCCCACCCCACAACCATTGCTGCTCACATCCAGGCTGGCTCCCCTCCCATCCATTTTTCACTTGTATCAGGGTGATCCTTCTAAAGTAAAAATCTGATCAACACCCCCACACACCTCCCCACACCTCTACTAAAAACCCTTTGATGGGACCAGAATTAAATCTAACTGGTTACTATTACATACTAGGCCCTCCCTGTCCTGGCTTCTGCCCAAGCTTAACTCTTAATCTTCCTTCCAACACCCTATGTATCATTGGCATGTAAATGGGTTTCTATTTTGAGGTAAGGGCTGAGCAGGAATTTCAGTGTTGGGAATTCCCCTGACTTCTGCAGCATCTTGTACTGATGTGATGGTAGGGGCTGCAGGATACAGAGATGATGTTACCAAGCGCTCCAACTTCTCCCAATCACCCCACAACCACATGCAAGGGCCAGGAACTCTTTACTTAATTCCTGCTCCCTTTGTCTGTCCCCTTCGTCCAGTGTGTTGTCCTTTATCAACACATCTGTAGAGAAACTTCGAGCGTGGACGTTCCTGTCACGTTAGTTTATGATTGTAAGTATTCATAGATAGATGAGCTTGATCTTTGAATAATTACTTCGCTGAAAAATGGTAAAGAAGAAAAAACCTAATAAAGAAGAAAAAGAAGTTGTCTAAGGGTGGTTGCAGTTTAACTCTCCACACGGAGTCACAGTTTAACCCGTTGCTTTTCTGTGTTCTGCATTCTGCTGTCTTGTTTTCCTCGTGTTACTTCCAGGGTTTCACAAGGAGCAAAAGTAGGAATAAGGTAAAAAGAAGTAGGTCTCTCGCATTAACAACCTACAATATACCAATGACACAACCTAGATTGCTGAAAGCAAAACGGACTTGAAGTACTTACAGGTGAAGATCATTGACAACAACCTTCGATATGGATTACACTTCAACATAAAGAAAGGGGGAAAAGATCATCACAACTAGGCCAGTCAGCAGCATCAGAATCGCATGATAAATAGAAAAAGAATGAGGTTGTCAAGGATTTCACTTTGCTTAGATCTATAATCAACACTCATAGTTGCAGTACTCAAGAAATCAAACGACACGTTGCACTGGGCAAATCTGCTGCAAAAGACAACTCCAGCTAGACCAGAGCATGTACCCTGGTACAGATAAGAGCTGCAACACAGGGAAACCAGGACAGATAAAGCCCTCAGGACCAAAAATGACAGTAGCAATGCCAGGAGGGTAAGGCAAAGGTTGGGGAGGAAAGGGGGAAACCAATAGCAGTGATCTACATATAACCCCCTCCCAGGGGATGGACAACAGAAAAATGGGTGAAGGGAGACAGCGGCCAGTGTCAGACATGAAAAAAAAAATGATCAAGTGTTCATTGATACCATTGATAATTGATACAATTGATAATTGATAGCAAGGGCTCAAGTAGAAAGCAAATGTTTTGAAAATGATGATGGCAACATATGTAAAAATGTGCTTGACACATGGATAGATGTAGGGACTGTGATAAGAGCTGTATGAGCTCCCAATAAAATGATTTTTTTAAGTATTAAAAGACAAATATGACCTACTTTAAGGGCTAAAGTGTGCCTGACCCAGGTCCTGGGATATGCAAGAGCCTCATATGCATGCTAACCCCGGACAATGAGTAGAGAAGACAGAAGAACTGATGCCTTTGGATTACAGGACTATTGAAGAACATTGGCTGTATCCTGGACAGCAGGAAGAACAAGCAAATCTTGGGAGAAGTACACCCAGAAAGCTCCTCAAAATGAGCACGGAGAGACTTTCCTCCACATACTTTGAACAGGTTATCGAGAAACCAGTCCCCAGAGAAGCACATCGTGCTTTGTAAAGCAGAGGATCACAAAACCGACTAAGATCTCCCACAGAATAAATGGACATGGTGGCTGCAACAACGGGCCTACGTACAGAAATGCTTCTGAGAGCAGCGGAGGACCAGGCAGTGATTCGTTTGGTTGGACATAGAGTCGTTGAATCAGCACTGACCCAATGGTACCCATAGCTTCATCGAGAGAACAAATTCACGCTAAATTAAAAGCATAGCTTTTCTGTTCTGGCTTCCCTGCACTGCCCACCTCGCTGCTGAGGAGTCAATTGCATCTCACACCCCCTTTCATAGAGTGGACCTCTTCCACGGGGTGTCTAAGGCCAGAGCTCTTCAGGGGAGCAGACAGCCTCTCTTTCTCCAGCTGGTTTGCACTGCAGAGCGTTCACTTCGCAGCCCAATGTTTAACCCACGAAGACATAAGATTTCTTTCAGGTTTCCCTAGACAGCCCAAATAGGCAAAAGAAAATAATGTTTACCAATATTTAGACAAATGACTCAACAGACACGTGGTAGGATCCTGAACTATTGAAAATTATGTCCTTATCTTGTTCCCGAATAGTCTATGTGGCTCTCTTGCTGTTGTGCTTAAAATTTCATGGGATATGAAGGAGGGAAAGTTCAGGAAGTAGGGGAAAGAAAGTATATTGTTGCCTTTTGGTCCAAGGGATCCAAGTAAATCATTATAGTTCACTTAATTTGAAGTTATTTTCTCAGCTATAGACAAGGAATAAGAACATTGAGCCCCCTTTTGGGGGCAGGAGCTTGAATTGCTATTTGCATTGTACTTAGAAGCTGGACACTATTATCATCGTCTTCTAAATATGAAAATCAAGATCTATCCCTCCACCCCAAATAAATCCAAACAATTCCTTCAGGAGTTGCCAGAAGTTGTGTTCTGAAAAGCTCACTACCACGGAGTCCGTTCCAACTCATGGCACTCTGTAAGGACAGGATGGAGCTGCCCTTGTGGGTGTCTGAGACTGTAGTTCTTCACAGGAGTTGAAAGCCTCATCTTCCTCTGGAGGAGCGGCTGGTGGTTTTGAACTGCTGACCTTGTGGTTTTCGGCCCAATATATAACCCTACGATATAACCAGGGTTCTTGCTGTGTTGTGAAAGCCATGTAAATACTTGATTTAGTTATCCCTTAATCATTATTATTTTTCCTGACATCCTTTTACAATAACAGAAAGCGGCAAACGTGAAGGTTTGTCTTTATGCTCTAAAATTAAAAGTTGATTTCATGTCTTCGCACACCAAAAAAACAAGAGCTACTTTGTTTTGCAGCCTGGGAACTGGACTTACACACTGAACAATACCCACCATGCTCTTCAAGCCTTGGCAGTGATGGTGACCTCTCGGGCCTCCAGCTTAACCATGCCCCCAGCCACTGTGGAAGCCTACATGGAAAGAGATAGCACCCATTTTCCCCACCCAGTGATGATTTATGCAAATGTCAGAAAGGGGGTTCATCCTATTCTCAATGCCACTGTAACTGCTGTAATTGAACCAGAGACTGGAGATCCCGTCACGCTGAAACTTTGTGATGACGGAGCAGGTAACGAGGAATGCCATGTTGTTGTTCATGGTCTCTAAGACATGATGTTATCATTCTGCAGTATTAGTCGTGTGTGGTTGTGAGGAAACTGCAGCTTCTGTGTGGCCCGTTGGACATCCTGACATGGCCACTCTCACTTACTGAGGTCACCTCACACAGGAATGGGCTTCTACTCATATGTCCTCCTAATACGCCTGGATTCCTCTAACATCATCAGGATGGTGACCCCTGGCATCACCAGGCTGGCCAGTTCAAAGAGCAAAAGGAGCACCAAGCTGTGGCAGCTCCCTTTATTCCCATGGTCCTAAGGAAATTGAACAGTTGGTTTACGCCATGAGACTAAGCCCCTAGGCTGAGGAGAGGGCACCAGGCAGTGCCCTTCAGATGTGTGGTTTGGTCACGAGGCCAGGGAGCCTAGAGGATTTAGGATTGCACCACCGCTGGGAAAACCAAACCAAACCCTACTTCTAAGAACAATTCTGCACACACACAGTCCAGAGCCTCGTCTTTATACATTAAGGACAACACAGCATCAGGCCGGGCAAATATTTGACCCTTTCTGACTAACTTCTTTTGACTCTTAACAGCAAGCAATGCCTTTGTTGGTCCACATTTCCAATTCTGTTCTCTTGCTAAATTAAATTCTCAGAATGACAATAGACCGTCAAACCTATGTTGGCAGCCACAAATGTTTGATCTGCTAATAAAATCACATTTTTCTGCCCTGTTATTTCAAAGCTCACTTAAAGTTCACTCAAAGACTATCTAGTTCAAGTCTGCCACAAAGAGTTGCCGGAGAAACTTTTTCCTTTTTTTTCTTTTCACCTAATAGAATGGATTCAAATGAATGTCTCATGTTCTGATTGCTTATCCATGGCTGCCCTTCTTATTTGTTGTATAAAATCCAAAAATGCACTTTGCAGAATGGTTTTCATTTCTTGCCCCAGCCTCTGGATTGGCCTGGAGGACAGATGCTGGCCTTCTTGGGAAGGTCACCTGATTCTACTCAAAGCACATTTATATTTAGTCCCTGGAACCATTTCATTTATCTGTTGTCTAAATTAATAATCTAGTGAAATACATAACAAAAACTATTGCCTAACCATCAGAGTATAAATTTAAATGTTTTAATACCTAAGCACATGTGCATACTTGTCTCAAACATCCTTTTATAAAGGAAGTCATATTCATCTGCTAAATAAATAAATTTATAAGAATAATATTCATTCAGGACAAATACTTTATTGTTTAAAATGTTCTTCCTCGTGTATGGTCTCAAATTGCCATTACAACAATCCTTGGTGATAAGCTATTCTCCCCATAATGTGGGTGAGAAAACTTAGATTCAAAGAGATTGAGTTCCATAGCTACTACAGGCCTTAAAATCAAACCCCTTAACTCCCAAGCTAATGTTCCTTTCTAGTTCTTTCTGCTTCGGTGATTTAAAAGATGGCAATAAGTGATGGTGACATGGAGATGTTGTTCTCGCTCCCTTTTTATTTAGAAGTTTTCCTTGGTAAATTCTGAACAAAATTAGGCCTTCATATTAATCACTAAATGCCATGATTGGATTTCTTACTAATGGACAATTAACAATAACACTGAAACCAATTTGATAATTAAAACAGCAGTTTTTTGTTTCAATTACTATATATGCTCCTGTATAAACTGAGTTTTTCAGCACCTTTTTAATGCTGTTTTTGTGGTAACATTAGGTGCCTCGACTTATATTCAGGTCAGCTTATACTCAAGTATATACAGTATATATACTCTTGCTTTTCTTAGATTAGGGAGCCCTGCCTCTCCAGAGGGACGATACAAAAAATCTAGAGCTCTTTGGCAAAGACACGATGCTTAGGGTACAGGGCGTGCACAGTGTGAGAACTGAATTGGCTTCTAGCAGAGGACAAGGCACTTGCTCTTGGTGACCACCTCCCCATGCTGCTCTGGATTCAGTCATGGGCTTAGCGTGGAATTGAGTAGCTCCCTAGGGGCCAAGAGAAAGGAAGGAAGCATAGCAGGAGCCAAGCCCCTACGCCCATCACACATCAGATCCACAAACCCTGTAGGCTCTGGAACAACAGTGCTATCTATGCTTCTGCTGATGAGCATTTCACAGATACCAAAGTTTTGTTTCTGTTTTTCCCCATCTCAGTTCATAACCAGATGGCTCAGGGCATTCATAAACTTCTTCAAATTGCCTGAAAATAGGTGTGTGTACATATGGAAGTCTGAGTATTTCCTGGGCACAGAATCACTTTTATCTCCAAAGTGTCTATGACCATAAACTAGCTTACAAAATGTGATTAGTTTCTTTGAGAAATTAGTATATATTAACTTCAATAATAGGACAATCAACTTGAAAGGTGATTATTATTAACAGTTGCGTTCACACAGGTGCAACTGATTCACTTTAAGAACAATAACTTTTCAGAGGTCAAGGAGTCACAGAGAGAAATGGAGTCATTGAAATTTTAATCACCTGATAATATCAAAAGGAATTCAATAGTTATATGCTGAAATGGGAATAATAAGGAGAATAAATATTATTTTTACTAGCTTAATTCAATGCCAGGGATCAGTCACACTAACAAATGTTAATCGTGACTTTTTTCTACACGCAGGTGCTGATGTTATAAAAAATGATGGCATTTACTCAAGGTATTTCTTCTCCTTTGCCAGAAGTGGTCGATATAACTTGAAAGTTCATGCCTATCAGTCTCCCAGCATCAGTATCATATCCTACTCTGTTCCAGGGAGTCATGCTATGTATGTCCCAGGTTACGTAGCCAATGGTAAGAATCATTAGCTCTGCCGTTTGACTATTGTCCTTTTGTGTTTATGTTTTATGTGCTTGTGTGTGTGTGTGCATGTGTGTTGGGGCATTAGGAAGAAATGAGAGGAAGAGAGAAGGTCAAGCTCAAGTCAGTGCCTAATTTACTGAGTAGCTCTTCCATCCCGTTTCCAGGGACAAATGTCAGGACGGTGATAGATAATTCTGACACATTATCTCCATCCTTAACTTGGAGATCATTATTTTTGCCTCTTTCTTGTGACCGTTTCATCAGAATTGCTGACATGTTAACTTAGGGATGCAGGTTTATTATGGAGTCTTCTCCATTCCTGCGCTTGCATTTCCTCTAAAGAGGGACATTCAGGCGAGAGAACGAAGCAGAAAGTGTCCAGTTGAAAGAAAGAAACAAACAATCCACAGTCAGGAAATTATTTCCGGAATCAATACAAGTTTGGAAGGTGCAGATAACTTGTGATTCCTGAAGATGTTCTCTCTTCCAGAAAGGGGTCGGGGGGTGGGGAGTACCAAATTTCAAATGGAAAATAACATCTCTTTTTCAGTTCTTGTCGTTAAGCATAATTGTTATCGTGCTTGGGAAGCAGAGGTTAGAGGGGTAACAGATGAACAGAAATAGAACAGCTTGTGGTCTTTAAAAACACTCTATTTTTTTTAAGATCCTTATTTCCCAAACAGCAAAGTCGTTAATGCTGTTATTCTACTTTAGCAGCTATAATGAATCGTTTAGATGATTCTAGAACATGCGTTTACATATTTTGTTCTATGCTTTTCAGTTTTCAGTAGAAAACACTCAGGATACTGCAGTGGATTTGCATCTCCCAGCCTCTTCCGTGTTATCTAGAATATAATTTACTCTCTTCTCTGTTTTAAATCATTCGGGTCACTCCAAAACCAATGCAAGTCCATTTGCACAGTGACATGGTTTTAGTGCAAAAATGATTTTGTAACTAGAGGTTAATACTTCATTCCTAAATAGATATTCTTTCTTTTATTTATACATGAGACACCTCGTAGGTCACAAGGTAGGACTGGGGATAGCATGTAGAACGCAACTCGATGTTCATAAGGTTTAAAACACACAAAAGCCAGAAGTGTACAGGGAAATGAGAGAAGTCATGTTTAACTGTGCTTTAATTTTCATAATTCATACAGATGCTGAGTAGCTTGGAAAATAGAAGGTTAGTTTTCCCTGTTCAGCATGGCATTCACTTTATCAGCTCATTCTATTGAAAAACGGACTCTCCTGTTTTCACACCATCCAGTCGGCCGACAGGCACATCCGCAGCCTTCCTCTCGTTCCCAAAGGCCTCTGCCTCCAGAGGGTCCGTTCTGGATTCCATCCCAGATCTCCGCCACAGGCCTTCCAAGGAGCCCTTGCATATTGCTGATCTGCCATAGCCCTTCTGAACAGTATTCAAATACATTTTATTACCTCTCATGTTTAAAGTAAAATCTTTGTTGTTCCACCTCTTTGCTCCGATGATAGCCCAGTTCCTTGTGACTGACCTGAATGTGCTGACTGTACTTTTTCACATCCTGTTTGTCACCTCAGCTCACAGCTCCCACCCACCCTGACTTGCATTCAAATCACTCCCTGGGCATTTCTATCACCGCAGTTACCAGTGACCATTCTGTTGTAAACCTAAATGCCATGTTAATCCTCATTTTAAGTACCTCAGCAGTACTTAAGCCAGGGATTCTTCCCTCTTTTGTCATGTCCTTGTTTCCACGACTCTACATTCTCCCGAGTGCCTCTTCATCACTGGCAATGTTTTGACAGACTTTTTGTCCAGCTCTGTCTTCTCTACGGGCCTCGAAATACTGCCAGTCCTCTGAGTCCGTCCTCACATTCGCACCCGCCTGTCTGGAGTCACCCTGGCTGGATTGTACTTCGTAGCTGTGGGAACTTGAGCAAGTTGCTTAGCTTCCATGTACCTCAGATTCATTGTCTGTAAAATTGGGAATAAAAGTGGATCCTCTTAATAGCATTGCTCAAAAAATTAAATAAGGTGATATACATAAGACCCTTAGAAAAGTATCTGGCACGTAGTAAGTGCCCAATTTTATCATTACAGTTAAAATGATAATGATTAGTTGGTTAATTTTATAGATCTGGCTGTGAAGGTCTTCTCTATGTCCATAACTTCAAAATTACTAAATTGAACTAAAACTATTTAAAACGTACAGCCTGTATCAACCTGACTCCTTAGCATGCATTTTTAGATGTTGAACAAGAATCTCAAACCTTCTAACTCACAGCTTCGGTCTCTTTCTACTCAGCTGGTTTCTCTGCCAATTGCTCTTTTTTTCATTCTTTTTCTTTTTTGCCAATTGCTCATTTTTGAAACCTAGGAACTTTTTAATTAATTTTTTCTTGTTCTTTATTTCATATTCAAATGAATCATTAGATTTTGTAGATTTTTATCTACAAAAATATAAGGGAACTTTAAACATTTTGTGAAGAAATGGAATAGAAAGGTATGGAATTTTTCCATGAACTGAAATCCACTAGTATATTTCAAACTTCCCACTTCTATTCTCACCTGGCTATTACCCATTTCAAGATGCCCCCTTCTCTTGTCTGGACTCTTGCCATGGCTGCCTTTCAAGTGGCGTGGCTGGTTGCTGCACTCTGCCTTCTTCACAAGCAGCCCAAAGCAAATATGATGATGGCCTTCCCTTGCGTCTTCATGGCACGTGCAGTTAAGATCGAAAACCACTGCAATGGCCCACAGGGTCCTGCATGAACTTCTTTCTCCTCTCCCATGTCAAACAGTTCTCAACCTTATGTTAGTTTTTCAAATTTGCAAAGTTCTTCTGCACTCCATGGTTTTTACATCTCTCTTACATTCCTTGCCTACTCTACTCTACCTGGCTGATCCCTATTCACCCTTTAACCCACTGTCATTGAGTCTATTCCAACTCCTAACCCCCCTGCACAGGGTGTGTGAGACTATAGATCTTTATGGGAACATACAGCCTCATCTTTCTCCAGCGCCGTGACTAGTAGCACCATCCATGCTTAACTCCATCAGGAAGCCTTTACATGTTACTGCAAAGCCTTGATACCACTCTCAGTGATGTACCTATGATTTTCTTTTGTAGCATACAGCCTTTTTACCTTCCTTAAACTTATCGTAATTTGTAAATATGTTTATTAACAGAATGATATATTTCATGAGGGCAGGGTTCTGTTTTGTCGTGATTTTTGGTGCAGCATATGATCTCAATAAATATTTGTTGAGTGACTGGATGAATTTCTGAATAAACAAACAGCCTTCCTCAAGGTCGTTTTCTTTTAAAATTCTCAATAACGTGTCAAAAAAAGCTAAGCTATTCACAAGATTTTTGATGACTGCTTTGGCTGTTCTTTTCTTGGTTGTCTCAGGCAATATTCAGATGAATGCCCCAAGAGCATCAATCGGTTGGAGCGAGGAGGAGCAAAAATGGGGCTTCAGCCGAGTAACTTCTGGGGGATCCTTTTCTGTGCTGGGAGTTCCAACTGGCCCCCATCCTGATGTGTTTCCACCATGCAAAATTATTGACCTGGAAGCTGTAAAATCAGAAGATGGAGTGACTCTGTCTTGGACAGCTCCGGGAGAAGACTTTGACCAAGGTCAAGGTAAGTTCCCTAGTTTCATTGCCTACTTTTCCAGGAAATGAAACTCCTAATGATTATGCCAGGGGTTCATTGTATGAACATCGCTTTGCAGCTAGAGGTAAAAATGCTGCAAGGATTCTGGTAGAAAATGTGAAGTTGCAGATGCAGTCTTAAATCCTGGAGGACAGGACCAAGGACACATTGGCTCCTCCTCAGGATTAAAGATGCCCAGACAACTGACTGCCGCCAGCCCCACACTCACCTTGGTTGAAAACGTAATGCTGCATGTATCAGTGATTCGTTCCGCAGAAGCAGGCTCTGTAATTCTAGATTCCAGAGGTGACTTCTTTTTTCTGAAAATTGGACAGTATTCATAGATTTCAAGCCTAATTTGGAGAACTATTTCCATATACCACATAAGACTCGAGGTATTTCCCTCTCTCACTTCCGGCAACAGTTTTTGTGAGGGAGGCTGGGACCACTCCCTTGATTCGGGGCACTCTCGTCCTTGCTTTGGTGAACGTAGAGGGAGTACCTCTTCCTACTTACGCTTTCTAAGTCGGGTGCAAACCTTCAGGCTTTCCTCGATACCGTCTTCTCATCCTCATCGGAACGCAGTAAAATAACCTTTCTCCAAGAATTGAACCTTTCAGCACTTCGCCCATTACCAAGAACAGGGTTCACATTGACTACACATTAGTTTTATTTCCAGAGGCCTCTGGTGGAAATTCCGGTAGGAAGCAGGTAGATTTCGATGGTTACCAGGAGGGCAGGGGGGTGGGAAGGTGACCTCCTTGGTGTCTCTCTAGCCCTACTTTCAATTAGATCATCTTTCTTTGTCTAAATTCTGAGCTCATTCACTAAACTTATCAGAAGACCTCAAATTACAAACAGTTCTAAGATGTTGTCAATACTGTAGTTTTGTCCTCAAATTTTCTTACCACATTTATATGTTTGCCAGAGATAAGAGAAGTAAAAGACTTTACACACTGAATTAAAGAGACTCCCAATTTAAAGGTGGTGGATTAAAAATGATTGAATAAGTATAGGGTGTGTGTGTGTGTGTGTAATCCTACACATTATATATCCAACACATAATAGAAACATCTGTACTTAGATTCCCATTTGGGGCTTTAAGTCTAACTACTTAATTTTTGGCAGAATGTCTAAACTTTCTTGGCCTCAGTTTCCACATATATAAAAAAGGACTAAACATATCTACTTCATAAAGTTTTGAAAGGATAAAATGAAATGACGCACACCTTATCAGAAAGGGGAAAGAAAGCATCCTTGGGAAATTTTCTAGGCTCCTGGCTTTTGTCGCTAGAGAATTCTCTGGTGTATTATAGGGAGAAAGGAATCACAAACAATATTCACTCAAGCTTACTTGATATCCTTCTCTGGGGGAATATGTCTCCTTTATAAATACCAGCAATTTTGTGTGGAATTTTAGGCCCTTTGTATAGATAGCAAAAGATAAGCCAAATTGGGCGACCATTAGCACAGGGCCTAATAATAGCTCCATTGTATTATTAGATTGCAACACCTGGAGGCGTTGTGTGTTTCAGGGAAAACACTCCCATCCATGTTTAAAAGCAGGAGTGATGCCTGCCACCCTCATGGGAGCTGACAGTCTCGTCTTTATCCTGAAGGCATTTGAATTGCGGTGCTGGTGAGGAATCTCCCCTGGAGAAGGTCATCAGGCAACGTTGTGTTTTGTTGTACATTGGGTAGCTATGAATCAGAACTGACTGGACGGCACCTAACCGCAACATTAACATCATAATCGCCCTATATACTTTTCAGATAATATGCCCACTGCCATCAAGTCAATTCCGGCACACAGTGACCCTCATCTTTCTCCCAGGGCATGGATGGGTTGAAACGGCTGACCTTGCAGTTAGCCGTCCAAACGCACAGCCCACTGAGTCACTAGGGTTCTAGAGTAATATCTCTGTCGTGGTCTGCTGCTGTTGAGTAGGTTCCTTCTCACACAACCTCCTGTACAAGAGACTGTATGTTGCCCAGTCCTGCACCATCCTCATAACTGCATTTGAGCCCATTTTTATCAGCCCATCTTTTTGAGGGTCTTCCTCTTCTTCACTCTCCTTTAACTGTATCAAGCATGGTGTCCTGTTTCAGGGACTTGCCTCTCCTGATAACGTAACTAAGTCTCATCCTCCTTGCCTCTTAAAGAGCACCTGGTCTCACTTCTTCCAATGCAGATCCGTTTGTCCGTTTAGTAGTCCATGGTACCTTCAGTAGTTTCCTCCAGCCCCGCAGTCCAAATGCATGGAATCTTCTTCCAGCTTCCTTATTCAATGTGTCGCTTTCAGATTCCTTTGAAGGTACTGAAAATACCATGGCTTGGATCCTCAAAGTAGAATCCTAAATTTTGAACACTTTAAAAGGGTCTTGTTCATCAGATTCACCCAATGCAATATTTGAACTCTTGACAGCTGCTTCCTTGATATGCAAACAAGACAAAACCGTTGACAACTTCAATCTTTTCTCCATGTATCATGAGGTAACCTGTTGGTCCAGTTGCTAGGATTTTTGCTTTCTTTACATTGAGTTGTCAGCCATACTGAAGGATGTAATACTTGGGGTTCATCACCAAGAGCTTCAAGTCTCTTCAATTCCAGTAAAGCAGGTTTTGTCATTTGCATATCGCAAGTTGTTAATCCTCCAATCCTGATACTGCAGCCTTCTTCATATAATCCAGCTTCTTGTAGTATAAATGGTGCTTAATAACTTGAGAGAGGCCCTGATGGCTCAATGGTTAAACACGGTGCTACTAACTGTGGGGGAAATGACGTGGCAATTTACTGTTGTAATGATCACAGCCTGAGAACTCCCAGGGGGCAATTCTATTCTCTCACACAAGGTCGGAATGGGTCAGAAACTACTCATTGGTGCACAACAACAATAACAAATGACTTGAAAACAATAAGTAAAATGGGACTTACAAACTGCCTTTATGAAAGCATTCATATGAGAAATGGACAGAGATTATACCACCTTCCTATCACTTCAGTGGTGACTAAGACAATTGAAGCAAATCAAGTTTATAATATAATCCAACAGTTAAAACCACAAAATGCACCTGGATCATTGCGTTAAACTGTATGGTGTTTCTGAGATGACTCAGTCATGTCTGATGTGGTGACTCAGCAGTAGCAAAACTGACCAATTAGCCATGTATAGATCATAAATCTGCTCTGACAACATCTTGTAACCAAAAATTCTAAATAATATCAAACAGAAAAAAATCTTTTGATAAATTCAAGTGTAAAGGTTATTTTGCTTTGACAGGCTTCTTCAAAGATGTTTTATTCTAATTACTGCTCAGAAATAGAAAGTGCTTTCTATTCAAATTTATTATAGGCTTGGAAACTCTTCAGAATATAGTCACTAGCAGGAGGAAAGTCAAAGAAAATAAAGGAAAGAGCTGGGAGGCAAAGGTCATTTATAGAGGTCCATATAAAGACATGTACATATGCAGATATATTTATATATGAGGATGGGGAAATAGATCTATGTGC